GTCCCGTTCGAACATTTTTCGTGCAAAAGCGAGTTTTTGGGCTTTCAGCGGCCATAACTCACTTCATTTTCATTTCTGTGATGCACTTTTTTCATGGGGTGAAAGTACAGGATTTGCTCTTTCTAACAAGCACCAAACCGTTTTTCAAAGTTCATTTTCCGAGAAAATCACACGTTCGAACATTTTGTTCCCATAGGTTTTTGAGCAGCACATGCGAGTTTTTGAGCTTTCAGCAATAATAACTTCCTTCAAAGAAGCTTGTTGGGGAGGGGCGAAGACATTTTTGAAGACTACGAGATTTCTGCTTTCTTATGTGTTTTACCGTTGTCTGGAAGAATCGTCCTCAGAAAATTAGGTCCCGAAGAACTTTAATTTCAGCCCCGAGAAGTCAAACCTTTCATAGGGATGCATTCAACTGTTCTTTATTCCTCAAGGAAAACACCGTAATTTGCCTAAAACTGTCTCTCTGTGCATAATAATCGAATCTAATGCGGTCTGCACAAGCAAGTCTTGCCCTCGGATACGCCACGCACGCGCCTGTGGCTGGCAGTCCTCGAAATTGCGACCCCCTTCCGACCAAAATGCGACCCCTTCGTTCGAACAGTTCGAACGGACGGTTGACCCTGGCTGCGACTCGTCTACTGACTCTGCCTTCTTGCCGCGAAACGAGCCTCCTGTTGGGTACTAGTGGCCCGAAACGCCCACTGACTATCTAATCACTCGCCGCAGGTCTATACGCGGCGAGTGATTAGATAGCAGAGAGAGCGTAGTGTTGAAGAGGGCACAACGATGAGAGTCGCATCAATGCGGAAATCAAGGAAGGGGTCCCATTTCTCGGGTTCGGGCCGTTTCAAATGGTTTCTTCTTCATCCCTGCTCCACTGACCACCTCTACCCTTATTTCCAATGAGCTACCTTTTCATCGTAAATCCACCTCTAAGCATAGCGAATGCTTTATGCTGAGCATTACAACCGTCCTTCATCCAGGTTCATCAAAACGGACTCACGTGGCATGGTTATGAGGCTTTCCGAATAGTCCCATATTACCAATTCTACCACATCACCTATCTCATGTTCCCTGATGCTGGAGTCCGGGAAAGATTTGAACATTATCGTCCAGGCAGCAATCTGAATTAAATGGAGAGTTAACGACTCTTACCGCGTTTCAACTGCAACAGTGTTCAGCAGAGGCTAAGACATCACTTTATCGCACCCACAGTCGGATTTGAAGGAACGGAGGAAATGTTGCTCATTTAGCAGAGTGCTCCATTCTTTGCAAGACCGCTCATCTTGGTGCTATATTTCTATGTTGGGATGAATATGCAAAATTTCGTTTCTTATGAGACGTTTACGGACCATAAACAGCGTAGAAAAGCTGCATTTGTGCAGGAAGAAAAAGCCAGAGGATTGGCGCTAACCAGTAAGGTCTTTCAGGGAGTGCCATGCTATTTCAAAATGGTTCTTTGTATGTTATAGGAATATATGCAAGCAGCACAAAACTGTGGTTCATTTCTCCTGAACAGCTTCTTTGAACCAAAAGAGGGGCGTAGAAGATATTGGGCTGATCCATAATTTCTGGCCGATTTTGGTTCAAATTCAATTTTCAATATGTCAAATTAACTTCATATCGAAATAAGTTGATATGTCAGGACCTTCAACCAGGATGTTTCAGAAGCTCAAATGCGCAACGGGATAATTAAGTAGGAATCAAAAGATCAACGACCAAACCCAACCATTATGCCTTACGACAATTTAAGAAGAACCTTGCAAGGAGCGCGGTAGGCAAGATCAGCGCTACGTTTGCCCAGTCTTTGCTACTGATCGGGCACTGAGCTATTGGCTCAATAGCATCGGCAAAGACGATAGGAGCTGCAAAGTTCGACCTCATCATGGACCTCCAGTCACTTTGGATGAGGACCCTTGCGCAACGAATAGGAAGTGCATCCTGACGCTATTAGCAGGAAACTGTAGCAAACACCTGGACGCAGCCTACGCTCCATGAGTCGACACCTGAACGAAAGGGGCTGTAGCAGAATGAAGACTCGATGGAAACAGCATGCATCGACTGACCATGACCGAGAAGCACGCCTGACCATCTGCAGAAGTTTCATTCTGCGACCATATAGACACGACATTCCCTAGTTGGTCACCAGTGCAGATGAGTCATGAGTCCACCACGATAACAACACACAGCACGCCTTGTGGCTACCTCGCAGCCTGGACTCACCATCTCGACCAAAGCATGAGCTCTCTCATCAGAGGATATTACCCCCGGTTGTTGGATTCGCTGGGTATCCTGTTTTGAGAACCATTTCACTTTATGCAGACAAGCATTGCGAAGGTGACCATGGAATAGCTCCCGAAGTTGGCTACAGCAGTGCGGGAGAACGGTTCGAAACGTCTCAAAATCTCCTTTCTCCGAAGGACCGCCCGAAATCACATTGCAAAGATAACTCGCCACGTTTCGAAGGAAACTGGCTGGACCACGACACCACATCTGTCGTATAGCCCTGACATTACTCCTATCGTACTACACCTCCTCAGCTCCCTGAAGCAGCAGCTTGGAGAGAAAAGAGTCAGTAAATGCAACCACCCCAAAAACGACTTTTCATTCCACAGCTCCATTCATTCTGGGAGGAATGCATCCATTCGTTCCCTAGCAAGTGGATGCTTATCAATGATTATGATGGTGGTTACTTTTTGATCAATCGTTTTAAGGAAAGAGAAAACTTGAAGAAATCAAAGTGTTGAAATTCGGCCAGAAATTATGGATCAACCCAATACTTTAGAACTGTTGTTTTAACTGCATCACTGTGGCTTATAACGTCCACAGCGCTGACTAATATCATGTTAAAAGGTTCCCGATAACCACACATTGAGAACAATGCGAAGTTAGAACAAAATGATGCGTTTGTCCGAACTGTTCAAGGAAATTTCATGGTTTCATGTGAGTTTTCAGTGCTCACGGGTCGCACCGATGGCCGAGTGGATACCTTCATGCTCTCTAGTTGGCACGGCGCAGCAGATGTCTTTGTTCGGCTTCCTGCGGCAAGAGATTCTTCCGGGTTTTCTCCCACATCATGGAGAGAGTATGTTCTCCGAAATGGTGCCAAATGTCGCTGACGTCAAAAAAGAATGCTCATTCGTGAATAGAGCACTGATCTGAAATCAACACCGAATTTTTGGGCGAAATCGAGATTTTGCCTCGACTTGGAAAAATTGAACCGGAATAGGGACAACAGGGGCCGAAAATTTATTGCCTATTGCCACTAATTGATGAGGAGGAGAACCTAGCAATTGGACACTGTACGTGGTTTCTCGGCCATCGCTGGCTCAGTGTCTGCCATCGTCCATCATAGGACAGAATTTCAGAGGGCAATTACGTCGTGATCGTTCCAAATCGGCCACGGTCAAGCCTGGCGTGCTATTGATTACTCATGGTGCAACTTTTCAAAATTGGGTCAAAGTCTTATTTTCTTGGAATCTTCGGCTAATAAGGGTAACACAAGTCCCTGAACATAATATTCGTTTGCGCGAACTAATTATAATGTTCTTCACTACCAACGAGGGCTTTAGGTGGAGACTTTATTAGTGGCCTGACCTTTGCGCGGGATCGTTTTCCTCAAAGGTCTGAACGTGGCTCAAGCTTCGACAGACGCCCTTCGAAGTTCCACACGTCCCGTCCCCATTAAGAAAAGTAGCCAAAGCCCCAAACAAAGCAACTTCGAAAAATTCATATTAAGTATGAAGACTTTAATATTTTTACTCTCAAAGGAAGGAAGTCGTAAAATCTTCGATATCGGTCCAACGTGACGGTTGACCCTGGCTCAGGGTGGCGTTACGAAATCATCAAGGCAGTAGCTAAAAGCAGGTGTTTGTTAACTGAATCGCCCGGGCTTCTGCACTACTGGTAGTGACCGCGACGCCGTACTGCAGCGGACGAGTCTCTATGTGCGTCATTCTGATTGAGCGTTAAAACGTCCAGTGAGCCCGTCCAGCGTAGCGTGCGATTCTGTTGAACGCTCTCCGCTAAAAGTAAGAGGTGGTCCCCATTTGAGAAGGTAATGGGAATGAGGATCGGCGAGACTGTCAACGAGGGACCATTATAGACACTTTGCTACTTTGTACCGGTTACTATTGTTAATTGTTTGTCAAGCAAATTCGTAGTTTCGCACGCAGCTAGACTCGCTACAGAGATGCGGGTCCATTGTTATGAAGACCATGCAGTTTACCCGTTTTCGACAAAACCATGATCGGGCCACGCTTTCCGAAACTGAAAATCCGTCGCCGCGTAACATTTTTCAAAAGTTAGGATCGCTATTGTATTGCTGAGACAGTTTGTCTCATGCCTATTAGCTTTGCCATGCAGTCCCAAAGATATTAAACCATGACTGTCGGTGGCTTTGTTCTGATTTTACCGTCTTTTGTCTGCCTCACTAAAACCGATCATGTGTTTTGCCTCTATCATCTGAAGCTGTATTTACAACGTGGGGATATATAGTAATAGCATTAAGTACTTTGGAGAAGCAGGTGAATGACTGCGCTCGAGACCTGTGACTCTTCGGAAGCCCTCGAGATCTCCTCAACGTTACTGTGTCGTAGGCTGTAATTACTGCACTTAAATTTCTTGAGCTATCAATGAACTTGTGCATGCCATGAGCTAGAGTGCACACTAGACGTACATCCGTGGATTATAAGACAGTTGGGATATGTGCAAGCGCGAACGAGGGTTCGATAGTGTAGTCGCGAAAAACACTTAATGTATTTGAAATTCATACATTTCTCCCGAACTCGTTGGTGTTTTCTGCTAAAAATGCGCTTACGCTTTATTATCTTGATCAGGAAGGTGCGTAAACTCACCCGCGCCCCTCTATTAGTTAGCGTATCGAGTCGAGAGGGCAGATTTGTTTTTGATATGTTTAGGGAGCGAGATCCTCAACGAATGACTGTTTTCCATCAGCCCAAGGATACTCTCAGCGCTGAGTTGGTTTACGATTGGACCCCATAACTAACCTCTCTATCGCTAACACCTACACAGCAGTTTTGAGTACGAAAATTGTTGTGCGTTTTGGTATCTTAGCATGTAGCACGTTAAAAAGTATACTGTAAGACGACGAACATACGATCGCATCTGAAACAAACGCGGTGTAGCGAGCCATTGCCTTGTTTAGCTGCACTCAGGTTTTTCTTTAATCGCATCACGCAACAGAATGAAAAAGGGGAATGCAATGCGAGAAAGAAAGCCGAAAAAATTAAATCTCCGAAAATTCCACGTAGGGTTGGCTCATTGCGCCCCATAAGAAAAGCATAGTACCTTCCTCGAAGCATACTCATTTTTGATAAATTATGGCGATCGATTAAGGAAAGCAACGGGACTAGATCTCGCTAGTAGGTAACCACGCCGTGGAGGAACTGTTCGATCGCGCACCCACAGAGAGTTGGCTCGACATCGCACAACATGGGCGCGGGTGGAGGTGCTGAACCGTTACGAGTTTGCAACCACGATCCCTCCTGCAACCTTTCCCACCCGCCGCCATCCGCTCAGGAGCCTTCGGCCAAATGCTTTTTCAGCACTAACCTTTTCCTGCCATATCATATTCGTCCAAATTTTGATATGTTTTGAAGACGGGCCTTTTGCACCGTATCAGTGTAGTTCTGTCGTAAATGGGACAGGGAGGGTAGAATGAAAAATATCAAAGAAGAAAGAACTTTTATCTCGAATTCTATGTTGTAGTTCTACCTCTTTTACGTACTAGCGAGTCTCCGCCTCGTTTCACGGATGGCAGGTGCTGTCGCTGCTAAACATTTGAAATTTACTTTCGTCTTCGTAGATGCCAGCCCAGCGAAGAACTACAGTTCAATGTGCTCAGAACGTTTCATTTCCTATCAATTCGCAGAAGGACAACTTCACAGTAGTATTCGAGGCGGTGGAGGAACACTTACGCAGGTAGGTTTTCGAAGGTGGTGCTACCCACAATCATGGCACTTGCACCAAACTGGCTTCGTCTTGTAGCAATACAGCCACCCAAAACATCGCACCTCAACTGCGCAAGTGTGCTCTCGACAGTTTGGTGTCCCTTTGACAGAGGAACAAGTTCTGTTGCATATCCTAGCTCATCGTGGCACTGCAGGAAAGGGTAAGAAAATCTCGTGCAAAAAAATGTTCATTAACTGATCCATATTTAGACCCTATCAAATTTTTAACGACTCTACAACTTGCAAAGTATTCGATTCTGCTCAATTTTATTTATCATGTAATCGATTGCTTTGTTGAATTGTAGGGTTTTATTAATAATTGAAGTTTACTGGGAATTTGGTCGTACCCGAAGCCTTGCTAAAGGAGGAACACGGTAGATTTGTGAATGAAAGGTAGCAGGGCTTTGTGAAGTCATGGCCATAGAGAATTCCTAGAGATACATAGGCATACTGATCGATTAATTGAATCGTACTGATCGATGTCCAGGGTATTCCTGATTTTCTTGGGCAAGCGCTGATTGCGATCTGTGTGTACCCAAATGGTGCGTTCTTCGATTTTCTTCTGCAATGGGTTTGTTGGCTTTTCTTCACGAAAAAGGGAGTCTGAAGAATGTGGCACGTTTCAATCCAATGCACCCTGTATCAAAACCACAGTCGAGGAACACTTAAAATCGGTCCTTCAAACCGATTTGATGCTCCCGTCTGCCCTCCCTCGACTGAACAGTGGCTCACGACTTCTGTGAATTTACACATTCAAACTTTTGCCACACTGTAAGTTCCCTTCCCCACCTCCTCCAATGCTTAGTGTTACGGGCTCTCCACGCGACTTGGAGCCAGGCCTGAGCCGTTCTCTCTCTAACTATTCGTGGCAGGACTACAGAAGAAATTTGAAGTATTCCGCAAAGCAAAACCCTAGCCTGTCACGAAGATCAAATACACATTACAATGTAACCACGTTTGTGAAGATTGTTGAAGATAAGTACAACGCACTCTCTAATTGGGCTTATGCGGCTAAAGATTGCGCAGTCCATTGTGTTCCTCTTATTCGAATGCGGCCATGCAACAGTCAGCTTGTTTGGAGCCGGGGGTCTTCTCACTTTTTATAAGAAAATTAGGAAGAGATTAGTCGATCGCCAGATTTCTCTATAGATTTTCAAAATGTAATATTTTCAAAGAAAAATGAAATATCAACGAAAACCAGGACCATCAAAAGATTTCTCGTCAAGATATCACATTTCAAGTCCGCGAATTCGTTGTGGGGAAAATGAGAAGGATCCTCGAAATGGTAATTTCATTACTCCGAAGAAAAAAGTGAAATCTGTGCGAAAAATTACCCGAAATGCTTCATCTGCTCCGATGTGGAAGTGTTTTATACCGTATGGGAGATGAACATCGACAACCTGCTTGATAGCCTGCTTGATCAAATTCACGGCTCCCTGGTCACCGAGGCACACTACCTACAAGTTCAGTGAACCCTTCATTTAGATTGGCATTAAATTGCAGAAAAATCGGATAATTAGACTGTCGAGGGGTGATCCCCTTTGCGCTGCTGAGAATTCTGAAGGGGCAGAGATATGAGAGATAATGTGAGTCGCTGAAAGGGTACGGAAGTCCTAGTAGGGGGAACATAACAGGTCAACATTGCGACGCAGGTAAGATATCGAACGACGGCCTGGTCCTGATTCTCCTTGGTCGGGTTTGAGCAAACCTTAGTGCCCAGCGCCTTAGTGACGCGTTTCGAAAAGCGAAAATGGCGTGAACTCTGCAACGGCGGGTCACACAACTCTATCCAATGGAGCGACTGATTGATTGATGCTGAGCCCGGCGCTTGCCTTCGTGGAATAACGCTTTGCACATCGTCTCAATTCCACCGACACGAACTAGGGTAGAGTACCGCTTGAGAGCGCCGCGGCAGCAAACACCGGGAAGTTTCCTCTGGTCACTCGGTAAGTCATCGATCTGGCATACTGTAGCCATGCGATGATAGTTTTTGTTAGAGTCTCAGCTAATACTGCAAATCCCAAGCATAACGGAACACTGTGATTCTTACAAATTTCTTTCCTTTCTTCTCTACTTGCAGTTCATATCGCATCCCCACTTTCATTTTTGAGTAGGATTACCGAATCAGTTCATTTCTTACCCTTTCACGAATTCCTCCAAAATTCCAGGAAAGCCCGATTTGAAGAGGTTCTCTTTATCAGAACTCCCAAAGCGTTTGAGCTGGACTACCGCCGCTTGTTCATTTGTTAGTAAACTGTACCACTCCTCATCTTCGGCAAATGTGATGGATGGTCAATCGTAGAATCCCTAGTAAGTCGACTTGAACATAACGGTGTCAGATCGTGTTTGGAGCTGAATCGGGCTCAAGGCATGTGGGGACCAAACTCTATATTTTCGGATCTTCACAAGTCTTTGGAGATGCCTCTCGTCAGT